AAAAAGTGACAATTTTTGTGGGTTGACAATTGCCAGATCAAACCAGAAAGGAACCTGACAGTCGTGTTTTTCGCATTTCCAAGCTCAGCGAACTTTGTTTTTTCCGTAACTTTAACAAACAAAGCACATCGGAATTATGACTTTTTACACTGTGGGGTCTCGAAATGGAGAGCGTCACGCTTTTGGATTGAATGGAGGCAGTAGGCACGATCGGACCAAGCCAAACAACACACACTTATTTAACTACTTTTAGAACAATCATATCGCCAGCAGATTTATTACATCAATTGTCGTCAACGTGCTAATACAACCTTACACAATATAACCAAACACCAAACAATGTAACAAACACAAGAACACACACAAGGCGACTTCATCACTTGACTCCCCACGAGGACACCCGGCAGACGACCCAGGGTGCCCTACTCCGCGGGCCCACGCGTGAGACAACTGTTCGCGCCAACCGCCACGACCCAAAGAGGCCCGCTCATCTTTCCCGTGCCGCCAGGCGTCACTGCCTGCGCTACCGTTCTAACCATGATGATATTGGTACTGATAAACGCTCACGAGCACAACGCCACCTTCCGCTCGATAGTTGTGACCCCTGAATGTGGCCTCTGCGCAAGACACAAGTGCTACGAGATGCAAACAACTTTACAGGGGTGTTAGCACCCCCACACCACTTTTTAACAAGCCAAGGAACTGTTCCACGGTCTCACAAACTCTCATCTACCATTTGTTCATTTCAACACGCATAGTTTGCCAAAACATTTTGATTATCTTATCAACTTAATGACATTCTTTAATTATGATTTTTCTGCCATCTGCCTTTCCGAAACTTGGCTGTCATCTGATGATGACAGCCAAGTGACAAAGTAGACAAGGCACCTCTTCACTTTTCGTTGTCATGCAGGGAGGTTTCTTAAAAGTACTTGAGTTTGCGAATATCAAAATTTTCGTATATGAATCGAATACGATTGATTGATTGATATGTGGGGTTTAACGCCCCAAAACCACCATTTGATTATGAGAGACGCCGCAGTGGAGGGCTCCAGGAATTTCGACCACCTGGGGTTCTTTAACGTGTACCCAAATCTGAGCACATGGGCCTACAACATTTCTGCCTCCATCGGAAATACAGCCGCCACAGCCGGGATTCGATCCCGTAACCTGCGGGTCAGCAGCCGAGTACCTTAGCCACTGGACCACCGCGACGGGTACGATTTGAATACGAATACATAACTTCGAATATGAATCCAATATTGAATAATGAAGAGGTGCAATTTTTTCCACCAGTTATCTTTTAATCAATCATATATTTAGGTTGGAAACAGTACAATTGTTATTATAGTCAGTTATTGCACAAAAAAAAAGTCACCATCTGTACTTGCCAGAAAGAATAAGGCTAATAGTAGAGCTTGTGGCTGTGACATTGGGTTCAATTCACGTAATGAACAAACCTTTTCTATCATTTTTTTTAGGGGCAAAGCTCCTTAAAGCGGCCGCTGTTCGTCCCTAGTAGTAGTAGTAGTCGTAGTGTGTAACCAGCTTTAGATTTTGACCTCAAAGGTAGTGCTGGTGGGGGATTTCTTCTGTGCGTTGTTGAACAATAAAAAAAATCGCAGCGTGCGTGTTAACTAAAAGCCGAATTCTCCTGTCTCTCATTACCCCTTAGCAGCCATTGGCATGTACATTGAGCACTATCTGACAAGAAAGGGTTGCTACGTTATACTCACTGGGTGTAACCTCCTTGGTTTTAGAAATGTTTAGCGAGAATTGGGCCGCATTGCCATGAATACAGTGAACTAGTATACACCATGAACTCGAGGTGGTTAAAGGTGAGAAGTAGACACGAAGCGCAAGCCCCATAAGAAAGTGTGCGTGTGCCTCCTCTCGTTCAGCCCTTGGAATGTCCGCTGGATGACGGTGCTTCTATATGAGGAATATATGATGAAAAGATGCGAGATGGTAGTACTTGGAGTGTTGCATAGGTGGACGAATGCACACACAGACAGATGCACAGACGGATGGACGCATGGACGGATGCAGTAGCGGACGCATGGACGGATGCAGGAACGGACGCACAGATGGACGTGCGGACGCACGAACAGATGCACGCACGGACGGGCAGATGGATGCACGAGCGGCCACACAGATGCACGCATGGACAGATGAAAGCAAGAACGAATGGACTGACGAACGCTTCGCCCCACTCTCCATCATTCACTCTGTGGATATGCTGCCGATTTTTTTGATGTGGCAGCACTTTATTAAGAAAAAAAAAAGAAAGAAAAGCTTTTGTACCTGCCTTGATGACTACTGAGCATGAGGCCATTGATTTGATTTTAGTCACAGTTACCAGCCAAGTACTTCAGTCTAAGCGATTATTAAAGCAGTCTAGGCGGTCACGATTCATCCAGCTTTGGCTCGAAAGACCCCAATTTTATGGGGTTTTTTTTTCTCCCCAGTTCTCAATTTTGTCTTCTGTTTTCATATCTGGTCAAGTCACTAGGTAAAGTAGGAGTACTTGGGGAATTTTTTACTACACCGCAACACGCCTTATCTCGTTTGCTTCCATTTCCTTTCTCGAGGACCGCACTCCCCATTTTCCAATCAAGAATGATGCGTTGCGCTGATAGCATGCACCATCGTGACCGCGGTGTACTGCGCGGGTAGCAATAACGCGAGGTAAGTGCACAAGACAGATGATTACGGATGTGTGATAAAAAGCCGCCCCAAATACGCCTTTTCGTTCACGGAGCCACAACTGCCGGCAGCGAGGACACTATTATGCCGCATTGTAGCAACGGTGTAATAGAGGGTTGATTGCAGGAGACGTTGCCGCGCGAGCGCGATGCGTGTACAACGGATTTTCAAAGGCGCTTTGGGGAACGAAGCAGAACTATGCAGTAATCCGTCTGTCACCTTATGTGCATCCCCGTTAGCAACGAAAAACTTTATGTGATGATGCCATTGTAGCATAACCATAAGTGCATGGCCTTTTCTGTGTTTCACATTGCACGGGAAAACACTTCAGCTCCTTTGCATGACTATATCTGCTATCATGAAATCATTCTGGAACTATGATGAGGGTATACATGCTGAAGTGGCGACACAGCTGACGGACGACTCGTCAGGCTTCAACATGTGCGCGTACATTTCTACAGTGATCCATTGGCGAAAACCGGTGTGACTATACATGAAACATGTTACCATCGTTCGTCAAGCTGAGCATGCCCCTAGCTAGTTGCACACGATGCATCGCCTATTAAGCCCACTCCATCACCGCCGCGCCCTGTAACGTATACCCATGCATTTGCCCTTGCGTAGAGATTTTTTTCTTTGTGCTCCCTCAGCACGAGACTGAGCAAAGGTGTGAAGACTATTTTGTCGAGCCAATGTAGCGGGGGCGAGTTGCCTTCGTTTCCACAAACAATACGCACATGCGGTCCCACACACAAGGGCACGGCAGCAGACGTCTGTCTGTACACTTACGTGAACCAACAGCGCTAAACCGCTAGGCCACACGTAGTGCCACGCAGGCAGTAAATTATTTAGATTTATTGCGATATTTATCATTGGCAGGTTTCTCCTGATGACTTGCAGCCGCATTCATTAGTAGCCGTCATCACGCTCCCATGAATTTTCATGCAAGCATCACCGTACTAGCGCCGAAGTCATAGTAATCACTGCATGATCTACAGAGGCTCTTATGGCAAATGCGCAAAATCGTAAGTTCTTAACAGTGACATATGCGAACGAATAGGCTTGTGCGAATAGTAAATTTTAGGTTCGACGTGAATAGTGAATTTGGTCAAATAATTTCATATAGAATTCGAATAGTATATATATGACACAAAGAAAAACGTGCATATTTATCACGACCTAACTAACCTGCACAATATTTTTTTTAAAAAATAAAATAGAGCCTCTACGCCAATTCCCCCCCTTTTTTTTTCGTTCAAAAGAAGTCAAAAGAACTTTGAGTAGTAGCAGAATTTTACTTTCAGCAGGATGAGAGTCATAACTCTTAAAATACGTAACATTTTAGATGTACTATACTTGGAGCATATAAGCCGTCATAACTGGCTTTTGGGCTAAATAAAATGAATTGATCTGAGAGTAATGATTTCAATTAAAGGGGCAGTGCGACACTTATTCAAGAAGCCATGGAATGCATTCATTAAAGAAGCTTATTATTGCTTCATGAATTCACCGCCGCAACTATATTTAGAATCCGCCCAGTATGCACGGAGTTGCAAATATTTCTCGCACTGCTGCTACTGCCTTCTCTCTTCTCATCCCAACGAAAGCACTGGAAGCTAAGCAGGGAGCGATGGCACGGGAAAAGAAAATACGTCACACGTGCTTTCTGAGCTTGTGTAGTTGTTTGCCGAGAGAAGAGAGCAATTTTTAACTAACTTTAGAATTTATTGTGAGCCGCTCGCTGCATGCTGTGCTATAATATTTGACTTGCGTGTCCTCGGTAGCCTCGAACCAGCGATCGGGAGCATTTTCTGACAATGCTCAAAAAGTGTTGCAGGGCCTCTTTAAATTTGAAGGGAGGCTTTGCGGCAGAGCGTATTTCTTCTGAATAGGTGCTTTCCCGGTTCTGAACGCCTACACTGCAGTGAAACAATCTTTACAGGCGGTACGTTCGGATTAATATGCACTTACTCTTTTTTTGCGAATACTTCAAAGTTTTCAATAATTTTAATTTGAACCGAAACGAATTCGAATATTCTAATGTTTGTTTGAATATTCGAAGCATTTGAATAATCGCACAAGCCTACGAATGAATATTTGTAGGCTTGAAGTTCGAATGAAGTTCGAATACTCGAAATTTTCGAATATGTGATTATCGAATCGAATACGAATATTACAAATGCAATATTCGCCAAATATTCAAAACTTTCGAATATTCGCACACTCCTAAAAATATGCAATGCAGGGTGATAGAGTTTGCTGGTGCAAGACTGTAGATGAAATATATAAAGTACCTCGAGATGGTAATCTGTAAAGCCACGATCCATGTTTCCCGACAGCAGGTAGGTAAGCGATTCTGCCGTGTACAGGCGCGCTGCCATGCTGGCCAGCTTCTCCTGGATGTTGCCAAAGGCTGCTAACCGGCTCCCAAACTGTGTGCGTGTGGTGGCATGGGTCACCGATTTGGCGATGGCTGTGCGCATGGTGCCACATAACACAGCTGACATGCCAAACCGGCCATTGTTAAGAATCTGCATGGCCACCTGCAAACGAGACATGAGGCAATCTCAAATGCCATTTTCGTAAGCAATGGTAACACACTATGAACCCCACATCAACAAAATCAATGTCGAAATGTATATCCGAGTTTTGAAGAAAAAAAGTGAAGTCCTGTTTAATAATATTATGGGGTTTCTGATGCAAAAGACGACACGAGAGACTCGCACTCAATTTTCCGCCCCTCTAAGCATAAGTATCTACCAAGATGTGGCTGCCATAGCAGAGAATGCTTACATGCTAAGCTACCATGATGCATTCAAATTCTTCAATCACCCTGTTGGTACATGGCTGGAAAAATCAACAACCCCGCCAGCAGGGACATGTACACAAAAGGTTGAACATAGGGACTAGCAACAATTTATGAAGCCACTGAAAAAGAAAAACCAAAACGCACATGTGCCACACATCACACAGTAGAGATGAGAGTACAGTGCATGAGCAGTCAGAACCAAATCACTCATGTGCCTTAAAGATAAGAGTGCAGTTAACGTCTTTTAATTAGATATTTCTAAAAAGGTCCTTTTTTTTCATTGACATAAAAGATTCACTTCCGCACCAATCATGTTGATGCTTCCGCATTTGATTCGCTTCAATGACTTCCCTTTCACATTTCGTGGCTACCCTAAAAATAATTTGCATATGTTAAACAAAAACGAAACCGTTATAAGTGAATCGGGAATCAGCAGAGGCAACAACAGCACCAAATGTGTAGTGTTTCTAACGAATGTGCGTAAACGCTAATAAGCTAAACCTGGCGACATTGTAAGAGCACCGCATCCTGCCCACTATGAACCACGTTTTCAGACCTCTTGGTAACGCCCGAGTGTTCTCAAAGCTTGATGCCACATCTACTGTCCCTCAAATGAATGCCAAAGGCCCTCAAGAGTTAACAAAAATAATAATGTCCATATGAACGCGTTTATCATCAGCTGCCGTGTGGGATAACGTCTGCCCTGGATTACCCACAGTTGCAGATGAGATAAATTCGTGAGAGCTGAATATGATTTGCGAGATTTCAGTTCTTGGCGAAGACAGGTAGTGCACGAGAGCCAGCTCGAAGCAGTGCTTGGGTGCCCTCAGAAACACTGGGCCGACCCTCAACAAGTAAAAATGCAAATTCCACATCACAAACGTCAAGTTTCTAGGTGGAGCTATTAATGAAAGCAGTATTTCATATGACCCAGAAGCACATAAGATCTCTGGTCCACACGGGTGAAGAAAGCCACCAAAACATAGAGAAATGAAAGAACGGTGGCACAAGCAGAGACAGTGACACAGAAGAGGCTATTCATAAGTGACATTACATTTCAAAAAAACACGTTCTCCAAAGTCCATATTGAGTATGCGCAAAGGCACCCTAGTAGATCATTGCACCTATCTTACCCATGCAAGTCACCACTGTGTTAAAGAAATGCCAGAATCTTTTCTGGTCAAAAACAAAAAGGGTGCCCGTACACAATTTTCAGGCCCAAGTTTTTAAACATGGCAAGCCTCAGCCAAGTCTCTATGGTTCGCGACCATAAAGAAGAAAGAAAGGTGAAAATTCAGTGGTAGACTGTGCTGCGCTGTTGCATTTATTTATTATTTTTATTTATGAATACTGCAATCCCTATAGGAATTTTTCGCAGATAAGTTACATGAATTACATGAACGCTCAATATGCAGACGAACAAATTTTTAAAACAGGAAGATAAAAACACACAGAAACAAAAGTACGCACAAAGCAACCTAAATATGCAAAAATTCGAACGTTTATGGGAACAGAGCTTAATTGACATGCTATATTAAACACTGTTATCGAGGCTAGAAGAAAACAATGTTAAGGATGGCTGTAAAACTTCGGTGTTGGTTAGTTTGTTCCAGTCGTTTATAGTTCGTGGAAAGAATGAATATTTAAAGCAGTTGTTACGGGTTGCATAGGGTGTTATTGTGCGCTCATGCCTTTGTCGAGTTGCATATCCGGACGAAAATGAATGAATTTCAGAAATGTCTATTTTGTAATGTCCCTTTATTAGTTGATATAGAAATTTTAGTCTAGATAAGCGGCTTCTTTCTGTTAGTGTTGGTAGATTAGCTCGAGCTGAAAATTCTGTGATTGAAGTGCGCCCGAAGCTGTTATAAATAAAATGAATGGTCTTTTTTTGTACTCTTTCTAGCTTGTTGATATTAGTTTTGGTAAAAGGGTCCCATATAATGGAAGCATAATCCAGAGTCGGCATAACTATTGTTTTATAAGCCAAAAGGCGGACGGAGGCGGTTGATAGTTTCAATGCTCTTCTGAGGAAGAACAGCTTACACATTGCAGTGTCAGTTACTGTATTAATGTGTTTCGTCCAATTCAGGTCATCTGTGATCCATATGCCAAGATACTTGTAATGTGGGACTTGGGAAAGTTTAGTATGAGTGGTAGAGTACTCGTATTCTTAAGGATTCTTTTTATTAGTTATTTGCATAAACACTGTTTTTTCGAAATTAATAGCCATTTGCCATTCATCACACCAGGAGGACACTTTTTGCAGAGCATCATTTAACACATGTTGGTCTGCGGGACAGCATATTTCGTGATAAAGTACACAGTCATCAGCGTAGAGTTTGATTTTAACAGGGATGCTATCAACAATATCATTAATAAACAAGAGAAAAAGAAGTGGTCCTAGCACTGAGCCCTGCGGAAGGCCAGAGTCAGCAAGCTGTCTATGTGAGCAGGAATCAGCAAAAACAACAAATTGTTCGCGTTTTGTGAGATATGCAGAAATCCAGTTAACTACTTGGGAATTGTTGATTATTCTACCTATCTTATGTATCAGTTTAGTGTGGGATACTTTATCAAAGCCTTTCGAAAAGTCCATAAAAATAACGTCAGTCTGTGTTCTACTACTTATTGATTTGGCAAAGTCATGTATTGTTTCAATTAACTGAGTGTTTGCCAAATCACCATTTCTAAAACCATTCTGGAATTTGGTAAGAACGTTATAGTTGTCTAGAAATTCGCAGACGTGATTGTAAATGTTATGTTCCAGAATCTTGCATACCGTATATGTTAATGAAATTGGACGATAATTTTTAACGGAGTTCTTATTTCCGGTCTTGTGAACTGGTTTAATTCTAGCGGTTCCCCAGTCTCTTGGTATTTCTCCATTTTGTAAAGACTTGCGAAAAATGACATGAAGATATTTTGACACCCACTCAGCGTACCTTTTCAAGAAGCTATTAGGAATATCATCAGGCCCTGGTGATTTTTTGGCATCAAGCCTTAGCAGAAGATTAAATATACCACTTTCAGAAACAATGACATCAGACATCGGTGGTAGGGATGCATGAAACACAGGTGATATACCATTATCTAGGGTGAACACCGATTTAAAATGGTTGTTAAAGGCATGGGAAATTTTCGCACTATCGTGAATTAGGCAGCCATCAACTTCAAATGTATCACATTCATGTATGCGAACGTGATGAAGGGAAGAATGCAATCCCAGTTAGTATGATCAGATGTCACATACATTGTGAGCATATCGCCGAGGGTGCGGTTAAGTCTCTCCGTAAGCCCGTTAGTCTGCGGGTGGTATGCCGTGGTCTTACGATGAACAACATGGCATTCAGAAAGCAGAAACGTGACGACTTCTGGTAGAAACGCTCGACCTCAGTCACTTAGTAGTTCTCTAGGTGCACCATGTCGTAGTATGAAGTGAAGGAGGACGAAGGACGCTACATCCCGCGCAGTGGCACTTGGAAGGGCGGCGGTCTCAGCGTAGCGTTAAATGATCCAGAGCGACTATGACCCACTGATTTTAATCTGGTGTTGTCTGTAGAGGACCATAGAGATCAATCCCGATCCGATCGAAAGGTCTGGCAGGGCACGGAAGCGATTGCAACGCACTGGACAAGTGGAGAGGCGGTGATTTGCGGCGTTGACAGTCAGGGCAGCCCATGACAAATTTTCGAACAAAATTATACATTCCGCACCAGTAGAAGCGGTGGCGAATGCGTTCGTAAGTTTTGAAAACTACAGCATGGCCACACTGGGAATCGTCGTGAAAGGAAGTGCATATTTGGGATCGCAAGATGTGGAGGACAACCAAGAGCAACTTACGACCTTCAGGGGCGTAGTTGCGTTGGTGTAGCAGCCGATCACGAATGGCGAAATGAGCAGCTCGACGTCGGAGAGATCCTGATACCGCAGTGGTTGACGATCCAGAGAGACAGTCAAAAAGGGAAGCAATCCACAGGTCCTTGTGTTTTTCGCTGGCAAAGGAGTCGATGTCGAGAGATGCGACGGAGTTGGTACCAGTGGTTCCGCAGGCCGAGTTAGAAGGTAAAGGCAAACGGGACAGGGTATCAGCGTCAGAATGCTTGCGTCCGCTGCGATAGATGACGCGAATGTCGTACTCCTGGATTTGCAGTGCCCACCGAGCTAGGCGGCCAGAAGGATCTTTCAATGTGGCGAGCCAACAAAGTGCGTGGTGGTCCGTTACCAGGTCGAATGGGCAACCGTACAAATAAGGGCGAAACTTGCAAAGCGTCCACACTAGCGCTAAGCACTCGTTTTCAGTGACGCTGTAAATGACCTCAGCTTTAGTGAGCGTGCGACGAAGTATTTGCAGTAGCCCGGCTTGCGTTAGGCGAGGACAGCGCCAAGCCCAACCCCACTAGCGTCTGTGTGAACTTTTGTTGCAGCTGTTGGGTCGAAATGCCGAAGAATGGGAGGAGATGTTAGCAGACTACAGAGCATGGCAAACGCGACGTCGCAGTCAAAAGACCAGAGGATGAAAGGTGTGCGTCACAGCGTAGGAGGTTGGTCAGTGGCGACACGATCAACGCGAAATTTCGAACGAAGCGCCGGAAGTACGAGCATAGTCCGATGAAACTGTGTACCTAATTCTTTCAGTGTAGTAGGTTTCAAGAACTCAGCGACTGCTCGCAGTTTTGCAGGGTCGGGTAGAACACCATGCTTGGATACGATGTGCCTTAAGATGGACAGCTC